TTTATCACAAAGCACTAAAAATGTGGGAACAATATTTTATACCAGTGCCAATCACCTCAATATTTAAGCAAAATTGACTTAAAAACCTATTTCTGGCAATTTTATTTGCGTAAAAAAAATCAAATAAAGAGGAAAACCCAATAAAGATGATGAAAAGGTCATATAGGCCATGCCTGCTTAGAGATTGTATAAGTTCCAATTGGTCATCCGGTACAAAAACGATAAGGTTTTTCGAATCTACTTCTGCACGTTTCCTCAGCGCAATCATGCGATCTTCACTCGTGACATCTGCCACAGAATTCTTTATATGATGTACACAGTGCAAGGATTTTCATTGCCTATTTGAATAGAAATACAACAACAAGCAAAAGGGAGGAAGCAGAAGCATTTTACAATCATATATGTGTTCAGTTTTTCGAGCTCTTGGATAGTAGGACGATACAGTGAAAAGAGAAGCAAGCTTCTAAAAAGCCCTATCTTTAACAAACATTTTAGAAGAAATCCAATAATGAGATTGTAGCTACTATATAAATGAATTTATTAAGCCAAAAAATAATTTGGAAAATAATGTCAAAAAGGTATGGAACCGACATAACTGTTTTAGGCATATGCATGTTACAAATACAAAAAGACTTATGCCATCCTTATTGCATATCTCCAAACCTTTCCTTTTCAATTGTAGTTTCTGCTTATTATTTTAAGGATTTGCAGGGTAATACCATATTGAAGGGTTATAACTAACTAATACAAGAAATATAGCTTAAAAATCCAAATACATCCTAAGAAATTAGTCTAGACTTCAGATTCATACTTGACAACAAGAGTCAGTATCCTTCTATAATGCACAAAACAATCTGAATATAAATATAACTATCTAAAACCATAAATTTGAAGTAGACTGAATTTCTAAGCATTTACCAATCTATTCAGCAAGACAAGAGATCCGCCATAACTAGAAAGATATGGTGAAAGCGATTGAGCTCAGCAGATGAAGTCAAACAAAATCACAAATACAAGCATACAATTCAGCAAATAAGTGTTCAGACCACGTTGAAGTATAGATATCAATACACACAGATTTGAATGCAGAAACTCACAGACCTTTATGACCAGACTGAGAGACAACCACCACCACCAATTTGATGTTCCTCCCACGAATTGTGGCCCTGAGAATTAATTAAATTAGATATGATAGTAAGCAATTACAATTAGAAATAAATTAGAATAATAGAAGAGAGAAAGAGGGAGGAGCGTACTTGAGATTTTCGAGATCGGTGCAGACCTGGAGCCATTGGGCGGGGTCGCCGGAAACATGATTAGAGGTGAAAAGAGCGGCAACGACGGAAGGAATCCTAGTACGGTGCTTGGAAAGCCAATCTGACCTGAGAATGCCGCGGATGGGGTCGGAAATATCTCGAGGGGGTTTCTTAGGGGGGATGACGGAGATCATAGAGAAATCGGGCAATGCGATGGCATTAATAGGGGGCTGCTGGGAGTGGAGGTGCGCCGTGATGAGGGAGTGCACATCGGGACACCCCACCAAACACGCTAATGCCACCGGTGGCGTTCGCAGCTCCTCCGGGTATTCTTCCATTGATCTTTGACTTGAAGATTAGGACTGATACTGTGGGAGATGAGATGAACAAATAATACAAGCTTATTTCTTCACCCAAACCCAATGGGCTTAGCTTCTTTTTTTTGGGTCATAATATATATATGTATATATGTACTTCTATTGGGTCCAATTACATAGATCTCTCAATATATTATATATGTATGACCATATTATAATCTATATTAAATTATCCATAAATTAAGTAATAATTTAATAATTTATGAACCTATGTTTAAATGAATATATTTCTCATACATTAGAGGATTATGAAATAAAAGATCAAATTGAGAGAAGATAAATACAATAGATGCAATTAATTAATTAATTTAACTTAGCTCATGAGCTTCCACTATATTGGGATAGGTAGGTTAATAGACTTCACCACAGCTTTGTTGAATCAGTTTGAATTAGTAATTAGATAGAGTGAACTATTTATTATTAGTATTACAATTTTTAGAACCAAGAAAAGAAGGGGAAGAAAAATATATATATATATATAATGATGATTGATCTGATGATGATAGCAATAAGAAATTGTAGTGTACAGTGTACTGCTTGGTGGTGGGGATGAAAATGCACTATCTAGCTAGTGAAGAAATGTGAAAAAGAAAGCGCACAAAGGAGACAAGAGCCAAAATAATCAAGCTAGAATGAACAGAAGCCAACCACCTCATCAACACCCCATCCATCATTTCCATCAATTAAGAAACCACTACTGTATATATCAATTCACACACACACACACACACACACACACACACACATTGAGTGCTTTCGTGTGTTTGTTTTTCATTTGTTTCCTATTTATTAGTACGTACTACTTTCTTGGCTGTGAATGGTGGTGGTGGTGTTGGGCTGTTCTTGTTTCAGCTATATATATATATATATATATTTTTAGTAGTTTGCTTGTTTATTAGCAGCGTCGTCGTCTGATGGGAAATTGCTGTTGTGCTTGGGAAACTTCAATATACAAAGTTTCATCCAATAATGCAAAATCAGGTACCGTCATTTTTCTTTAATCTTTATAATTTTGTTTCGAATATGTTTATACTTGTTCGGTTTGTTTAGTTTACTGAATCTTGAAAATCTTTGGGTACGGTATATTTTCTACAAGATACTTGAAACATATTTTTTTCCATCCTCTCATTTTTTTTTAATATATATGTTTTACATGGCTATTCAATTATGTTTGGTGTCCTAATTTCAAACAAGATTCTAGGACTAGGAGGAACCAAATTTTGAAAATGTTTAGTGTATATTCTCATTTACTTTAATTTTTTTTTTTTTTCCTTTTTTTCTCTTCTTTCATCTTTGGTGCACAAGAACAGAGGTGTCTGATTTTCATTTATGTCGTGCAGAATCTCCAGCAAATGATCAAATTAGTTCATCAGAGAAAGCAATCAATGCCACCACCAAACTACCATCAAACCCCGAAGAAGTGGAAGACCTGCGCCGTTCTTCAACAAACAATCCGTTAATTGTGTTCACATTCGACGAGTTAAGGAACATCACTGAAAATTTCAGACATGATTACATGTTGGGAGGAGGAGGTTTTGGAAATGTCTACAAAGGCCACATTTCTCAAGATTTCGAACAGCGAATGACTGTTGCTGTTAAGGTTCATGATGGTAATAATAGCCATCAAGGTCACAGGGAATGGCTCGTAAGTATTTATATATCGATTCATCACTTTTTTCTAATATAATTAGTACATAATTGTTAGGTGATAATTCAATCAAATCCAATCCTTGGTATTTTAGGCTGAGGTGATCTTTTTGGGGCAGCTTTCTCATCCAAATCTAGTGAAATTAATCGGATATTGTTGTGAGGACGAACATCGAGTTCTAATATATGAGTACATGTCAAAGGGTAGTGTTGAAAACAACCTATTCTCGAGTAAGTATTGTTTTCGTGGATTGATTGATTGATGGATTGAATTGCTAGCTTCTCTAGTTATATGTTTCATGAAAGTTAGATTGCGTATACTTGCATGCATGCAGGAGTGTTGCTTCCTCTTCCTTGGTCTACTAGAATGAAGATAGTGTACGGTGCTGCAAAAGGACTTGCTTTCCTGCACGAAGCACACAAACCTGTCATCTATCGTGATTTTAAGACATCCAACATTTTACTGGACCAGGTTAGCCACTATATACGAATTTAGGCCAGTTAATTATAGCATAATTTTATTAGCATTAGACTCTCTCTATTTAAAAGGAGTACAACGCAAAGCTCTCGGATTTTGGGCTAGCTAAAGACGGTCCAGTAGGAGACAAGTCTCATGTTTCTACTCGCATTATGGGAACATACGGTTACGCTGCACCAGAATACATAATGACAGGTGAATATTCTACACGTACACAATCAACTTACATATATACACATTATTTGTGAAATGTCATCTTTATATTGTTGTTTTTTCGTATTGCGCGATCAGGCCACCTGAGTCCAAGGAGTGATGTATATAGCTTCGGAGTGGTGTTGCTAGAGATTGTAACTGGCCGAAAATCACTAGATAAATCGAGGTCGGCGCGTGAGCAGAATCTGACAGATTGGGCGGTGCCTTTGCTTAGAGAGAAGAAGAAATTGATAAATATAGTGGATCCAAAACTAGAAGGGAATTATCCAATAAAGGATGTTAATAAAGCAGCAATGCTTGCTTATCACTGCTTAAATCGAAATCCGAAAGCAAGGCCTTTAATGAGAGATATTGTAGCTTCATTGGAGCCTCTCCAAGAAGGCATTCTTTCTGCTTCCGATGATCTTCTTGTTTCCAACTGACATATATAAAACATTATTACTGTAGCTTCATTGGATAAGCGGTTGTTGTTTTGAGATAATAATTGATTGTACACCACAGACGAAATCTGCTTTTTCGAATATGTATTCTTGTTACATATAAATGTGTCCACTTGAGACAGGCTAGTAGGTTATGATACTATCAAAATAAATCAGAATTTCACAGGATTTTATGTGGGTGGAGACAAATTGCAAGTCCTTTCTCCGATGTAGGAATGGGATCGATTATGATTTTGTCAGTAGGAATAAGTAAATCCCATATAAACTTGGGAATAATATTATGCAGAAAAGTGAGTATTTCCAAGCTAAGCGAGCAAACTCTTTCCTCAAGCACATTAGAGTTTAGTAGTCACTACAAAAAAAGGGCTTTTAAATAACGAAACAATGGTAATAATTGTAAAATTTGTCACAATAAGTAGCATATGGTAACGACTTATAAATTTTGTCACGAATAAGTCATTGTTTTGTAACAGTACTATAAAATCGTTACCAAAAGAAGAATTTCGTTACCAAAAACCCAGTATTTGGCGACAACCTAATAAATTGTTACAAAAACTTTATTTTTGTTACGAAAGAATATTTTCTAGTGACAAAGGTAAACAATCGTTACAAATGTGATAATATTGTCATAAAAACTTGTTATTTTTTGTGACAAATTTGAATCTATTACAATAACTTAATGGAATTGCCTTAAATAGTTATTAATTATTCAAATATACAAATACATTTTAGAATGTTGTTAATTTTTAGAAGGTTACAAATCAATTGACTTAATTTTGTTACAAAATGTTTTTTTTTTTACAATTTTGTTAATTTTTATGATGATCAATTAATTGTTAATAAAAATAATTCTACTAGAAACATATTTATTTTTATTATGTTATCATATGTAATTAACTATCATCAACACCAATTTATTTGTTATTACAAAATATATGAACAACATAAAAAATATATTTGAAGCATATTTGTTATTATTAATTATTAGTCTAAATTATTTTTATAGTTGAACTTTTCAATTTTAAACATCAATTTTCATATCACCTAGCAAAATTTTTAATATCAAATATTGATTTTGAAGATTACCAAAATTCATTTTATCAATTGATATTGCAATAGAAATAATAGTAGTAGAGACACTTTAAGTTGTAAAAGACCAAAAAATTAATATATTCTAAAAGAATAATTTTTTGAAATAAATATAATTAATCTAATATAGAAATGGGCCAAATGGGCCAAATTGCCCAAAATATATTGCACAAGCAGCAGCAGCTTGTGAAAACATAAGGACAAAATGCGCTAGGGCTTTTAGATCTGACTCCGTATGGGTAGTACTCAGATTCCTTCAAGCTTTTCACTTGAAGACAAGCAGCTTTTCACGGCGACGGCGATGGAGACAAGCGGTTTCTTCACGGCGACGGCGATGGAGATAAGCAACTTCAAGAAGGCGAGGAAGACGACAGTATACGATTAAGGTAAAGCTTTAATTTTTAATTTTACCTATTTCAAGTTTGAGGTTTCGATTTACGGCGACGACGACGAGACTATAGGTGATTTTTACTTCTGTTTTGTTCGATTTCAATCTCCCAATCTTGAATAAAATTTTGATTGGATTTAAGGTGTTCCATTTGTTCCATATTGTTGTTAAAATATTCTCTTGTTGTACACGAAATATGCACAAATACCGGCATTATGTACACGAAATATGCATAAATACGGGCATTAGGTTTTTTTTTTTTATTTTTTTATTTTTTTTTTATTTTAGGATGGGATTGAAATTTATTTCCATGTTATTCTGTATTATGTAGATGAAGTTGAGTTGGTGAATAAGGTTTTATGTTCATGAGAGATAGTGATAGTGTTATTTTGATTGATGAGTTATGAGATTTCCAGCATGAATGAATGTAGACAATTTGTCTAGGACTTTTTTTCAAAACACGGGAAAATTTGCGGAATAAGAATTTCAAGAGCTTGAGCTTACCTCATGGTGGGAAATCAGTAGGAAATTTCCAGTGATATGGTTATTTGAAATATCGTGACAGTTATGTCTCATTCTTGTATTCATATGATTCCATTTACCATGCCAATGAATGCTATTAATACTTGTGCAGCTGGCTGAGTTGTTGCTTTAGGCCTTGGTGAAGATGGATTTTGGGCGAAGTAGCAACAACAACGGCGATTGGGCAGAGCTGGAGTGGCGATTGGGCAAAGCTGCAACGGCGATTGGACAAAGCCGGAATGGCAATTGGCAAAGCTAAAATTTAAGGTAGAACTAGTAAAAAATGCTTTTGGTATATTAGTTTTGGATCATCTTCTCTATTTAATCACTTGTACATATTACTCAAAAGATTAACCTATATATTACTTCGTATATGGTGAATTTGCAATGCTTGAAAAAACTATAACACTAGTTTAAGAATTTCTCAATAATACTCGTATGTAGTTGATATAGGTGTCTGTTGCTTACAAAGCCTTATAACTAGTATATAACATCAAATGCTAACAACATTGGTAGCAAAATGAATGTTGTCTAAACTTTAGATGCTAAGTTGAATGTTGTCTAGGCTAGCTAGCTATTACTTGAAATTGTTATTGCTTCTTTACTGCTTGCTTAAATCTCATCCTCTGAATTCTTATCAGTGCTTTTAAAAATATTTGTTCTATTCTCATGATATTAGTTCTTAATTTCCATGTATGTCCTTATCTAATGTGTATCATTAAAATTAATCTTGTAAAGTCGAATTGTACTTGTGTCTGCAGGTTTTTGGAATAGATACAATGGTGGATTTGCAACATGATGTTGCAGAAAATTGCTTTTGTTTTGATCAATATATTGTGCTTTTAAAAAAAACAATAAAACATGATGTATTTTATATTTTAAGCTTGTATAAGAATGTAATTATCCATAATTAAGATACAAGTTTCTTTTTGTAATAAAGAATATTATCTCTTATTTTGATTGTGATTATAAAGTGTTACCAAGTAATCTTCAGCTCCTATTACAAGATTTCATTGTGTTGCAGTTTATGCCTTTTGATGTATATTCATTTTGAATTTAAATTTATTATGAAGGATTTATGGTCATATTTATATAGTATTTGTGAGAATTATATAGGTAGCAAAAATATATATTTTTTTTAATAAATTATGAGAATTTGTGAGGAAACAAATTGTCACATAAGGTATTTGTATCGAATATTATTATTACAAATATATATAAAATATTTCTCCAAATTTGACTATTGGTAACGAATTTATTTCTTGTAACGACACCAAACAATTTTAGTGAGGATAATATTGTTACCATAAATTGTGATATTGTAACAAACAATATGTCGTTACCAATACATTTGTAACGAATATAGAATATTTGTCACCTAAACTTCTAGCGTCGAGCTTTACAGGACAAACAAAAGGTAACAAATCTTCTGTTACAATAAGTTTTAGCGACAAATTAGGCACTTATTGTGACAATTTTTCTCCTTGCTAAAAGTGTCTTTTTTTGTAGTGAGTGAGAAAATAAGAAACCACATTCCTCATATGCATGCCTTTAACTCCAGTGGTGGTTGAGTATGCAAGTTCCTAGTAGATTCCTAACACAAGTACGTAGGCCACCAAACTGTGACAAACTTGTTTTCGTTGCTGAACAAAAATTTGTTCCTCGCATAAGACAAATTTATCAGAGGATTCTTGATTTCTCGTACGGAGAAATTCCAGTGTTTCTCCGATAACTGCCTGGGGAAAGATTTAAGAATTTGCTTTGATATGATTTATGTTTGATATTGAATAAGGTGATTATAGTGAGAATTAAGAGAGGTGCTACTATGGAAGCTAATATGGTCATTATATCATACATTCATACTAAACGAGGAGATAATAATAATAGCATTGCTTTGGATTATCCTAACAATCAATCTTATTTTCAGTTCAGCAAAAATATATCCTCACTTTTTTATTATGTAATTGTTTGAGTAGGTGATCAATAAGCCAACTTGTGGCTGTGGTCTTTTCATTTATTCTTATAATAAATAAACATTTTTCGTATTAATGATAAAAAATACGTTGACATTCTATATCTTTGTCCATTTGTCACAAACATAGATATAGTCCTTACAGTTATTACAAGTACTAGTAATTGATCTTTAGGATCGTGAGATATTTATTTTAGTATTATAACTGTTAAACGTGTTCCTAGTCGAAGGGTTACGCCACCAATGAGGATACCGGCATTTCCCATTAAGAGATTAACACTTAGTGTATGTGTACTGCATCTCATCAGTAAACGGTATTAGAATATCGGCATTTCCCATTAAGAGACTAGCACTTAGTGTATGTATAATGTATCTCATCAGTAAACGGTATTGTGATATCGGCATGCATAAGTGGGAACTCGTAAGTTGACAAAAAATGACGTTTAATTTGTTTAAAACAGGTAACAAAAATTAATTATGATTTATTACTATATCATCATATTTTATTTGTTGGGATAATTAAACATAAATGCTTCTATTTTCTTCACATCCTCTTTTATTAATTATAAAAAGTTAAAATTCAAACTCGGTAGAAATTAATAAGGAAGTTTATTTACTCTGTGATTTGTTGTAGATTCCCCTTCCTTTCTTAATAGCAGGAAAAAAAATCCAAATGGGCTTGAGCCCATATTATATAACTTTTAAGTGTTTGGTGGGCCAGCCTAGTCCTCATTATGTTGTGTGTGTTTTGTGTCAGGCCACGTTACTTATACTGTACGGTCTTGTTTAATTATTTATATTGTTAATTATGCACCAAAAAGGGATATATTGTTTGTAATTTAACTCCCATTTGGTTTTTAATAACAAATGCTATAAGATTTTACATTTTCAAAGACAATTAAGTTTAGCAAACATATGACAAATTCAAATTTACTATCATTCAATTAGTTCCTCAATTTAAACCGGACTTGAACAAAGCAACCCACATAACTAACTCACTAGGGGACCAAAACTTTATAACTAAAAAGATCATAATAATGATAATAATAGAGTTTGAGATTAGAAAATCAGCCTAGAACAAGAAAAATAGGTAAACAAGCTAAGACTTATACTAACTATACATGTGACAATTACATGAAATGAAAACGTA